TGCGCCATTCCGGTCAAAGTTCAACCCCAACGCTGGCAGCGATATCGACTACTCCATGACCGCCCCTCTAGACAAGTCTGGCTCCGACTACCCTTGCAAGGGTTACCATAAGGCCCTTGGCACTCCTGCTGGCAAGAGCACCGCAACCTTTGCTCCGGGCAGCGCCCACAACTTCACCATCGTCGGTGGAGCGGCTCACGGCGGCGGTTCTTGCCAGGCTAGTCTGAGCTACGATGGAGGCAAGACCTTCACTGTGATCTCCTCCATCGTTGGTGGCTGCCCTCTCGCGGCCAACTTCCCCTTCACCGTCCCCTCGGATGCCCAGACTGGCGATGCCATCTTCGCCTGGACCTGGTTCAACAACCTCGGCAACCGTGAGATGTACATGAACTGCGCCGCCGTCACCATTGCTGGCGGCAGCAGCAAGCGTGAAGAGGTTGTCGAACGGGCTGAGATTAAGGAGCGTGCTGCGTTCTCCTCGCGTCCCCAGATCTTCCTCGCCAACATCAACAACGGCTGCACCACGGTCGACAGCGCTGACGTCCTCTTCCCCAACCCCGGCCCTGATGCCGTCGTGAACAACCCATCCGCCAAGCAGGCCTCAGGAACCTGCGGTTACGACGGAACAGCTGCTCCTGGATCTGGCTCCGGCTCCGGCTCCGGTTCAGGCTCCAGCACCCCGACCACTGCGGCCCCGGTTGTCATTCCAGCCACCACCTCTTCTGTTCAGACTCGCCCTGGGTATGTATCTTCCTCTCCTGCTACTAGCTCCCCTGTTAGCTCAAGCTCACCGTCTTCTAGTGGCGTTTTCAAGGAGACTCCCAATGGTCCAGCGACAACGGCTGTGCCCGCCACGACTTCGGCCGCTGCACCTGCATTCTCCGCGCCTGTGGTCTCGGCACCCGTTGTATCGAAGCCTACTGCCGCTCCCGCTGCTCCCACCACCCTTCAGACCGCTACCAAGGCCACCTCTGCTGCTGCCCCCGCCGGCACTGGCACAACTGGGTCCGGCTCTGGTGCTGGAGGCTTTGCTCCCGGCACCCCTTGCACTGATGAGGGCGCGTGGAACTGCATCAACGGCAGCTCTTTCCAGCGCTGCGCTAGCGGCTCCTGGTCTGCTGTTCTCGCCATGGCTGCCGGCACCAAGTGCACTACTGGCGTCAGCGACACCTTTGTCGTTGCCCGGAGTGCAAGACTTCCTCGCCGGAACATCGTCCGCAACGCTTAATTCCCTTTCCCTGAAGGAAATCAAAGCCTGTCTCAAAGCCTGTCCAGGCCCAGTAACAAAAGAGATCACGATGACGACGACAGAAAACACGAAATGAGGAACTTTAACCCCTCACCTCAAAAAGAGGGGGTACACACGAAAACCTTTCGGGCTGGCCTCAACACTTTTTTTCCTTCTTGACATTCATGAACAAAGCAATTTTACATCACACTTTTTTGTGGGCAACCACACACGCACGCACATTCGCTCTCTTTGCTGACATGCATCACCAACTAGCACTCTGTACTTTACCTTCTATCATTCTTTTCTTCTTCTTCTTTCACTTCATCAAGAACCTCATTAGGTCATCTGGCGTTTTATGGTTGTAAAAAAAAAAAGGGACCGACAATCATTTTGCATTGCATTGTTTTATGGGAATATGCGTATCATACTGGGAGGGAGGGCAAAGGCCCGTGGGTCTACGGATACCCGGGTAGCATTGATACCACACACACGCACACACAAAGAAATACCCATCTTTATGAACTACAAACTGTGCCCATCTTTGTGACTGCAAACGACCTAGTGAACAACTGTCTTTGTGACCACTGGTGTATGATATGTACCCCCGGTGCAACGGTATTAAGCTAACATTGGGACGTTTGGTAACCGCGGAACTACCTAACACAAATGATCATTGCAAGTATCTAACTCCTATCTCTTCGTTCGTCCCTAGGTTAATAGAGAGGGCGAGCACTCAGATACTTCCAGAACGCAATATAATCTCATCTTCCTTGATGGCTTTGGGTGAAGTTAAGGTTCACTGGAGACATTACATCCCATCGCAGCCTTTCAACGTTCCTTACCCGGTTTGGCGCAATGCAGCCAGCTCTGTCGTCTTGTTGTGGATATGAAGGGGGAAAACCCAGGATAGTGCAAAGGATAAGAATGGCCAGATTATATTACTTCCAAAACATCCTCCGACATGGCGAGCTCACCGAACCATTCATTATGCGGTGAGCTTAGTGTTTTGTCACTTTGCACACACAGTGACTTCGTAGGAGTAGGAAGACAAAATGCAAATGGATCGATCTATGTCAAGCACGAGATCCTCATATGTGTATATCGGTACCGTTGCAAGTCCCAAGTTGATCTTGACCGAAAATTTGATTCAGGGCTTCAATAAAACCCCATATATGAATATTCTTCTTTTTAAACTGTCTCTCTGTATCTCCTCATTCTCTTTTTAAACTCCAAGGCGCCGTACTTCATAGAATCAAGGGAAAAAATGATCCTTTAGAAAACCGGTTCCCACACTATATCAAAAAAAGGGGGAAAAGAAAAATATTAGCACGCCATGCAAGCCATCTTTCTACCTTTGACTACCAACCACAACTGCCAGTGCGTCATACCCTCGTCGTCTGGATGGCATCGTCGAGAATCTTCAATCCTTCCTGAATCTCCGCGTCGGTTATGGTCAAGCTGGGCACAAACCGCAGGGTGTTGGTGCCGGCCGTAATGACCAGCATCCCGCGCTCGCGGGCGGCCGTGACGATGGGAGTTGGGTCCTCGGTCAGCTGTAGGCCCAGGATCAGGCCCTTGCCGCGGGTCTCGGCGATGAGCTCCGGGTACTTGTCCTTCAGGGCGGCGAAGCCGGCCTCGAACACCTTGCCCTTGGCGACGACGTCGGCCTGGAGCGCCGGGTCGGCGAGCCGCGACACGATGTAGTGCGCCAGGCGGCAGGCGACCGGGTTGCCACCGAAGGTGGTGCCGTGGTCGCCGACCTTGATCTTCTCGGCCACGTGCGCATTCACGATGGTAGCGCCAATGGGGAATCCGTTGCCGAGAGCCTTGGCCGTGGTCAGAATGTCCGGGTGCGCAGACGCGGGCAGGTGGCTGTGGGCCCAGAGCTGACCGGTGCGCGACATGCCGCACTGGATCTCGTCGTACAGCAGCACGGCGCCCACGGCGCGGCACCGCTCCGCCAGCGCGATCAGGAACTCGTCCGACGCCACCTGCACGCCGCCCTCGCCCTGGATCGGCTCGACCAGCACGCCGCACGTCTTTTCCGTGACCAGTTCGTCCAGAGCGGCGATGTCGTTGTACCTGCCGACCCGGAACCCGGGGACCATGGGCGCGAAGGGCGCCTGGTATTTTGGGTTGGGCGTCGCCGAGAGGCTGCCCATGGTGCGGCCGTGGAAGGCGTTGCGGAACGACACGATCTCCGTCTTGGATCCGGAGGGGTCGAGCACCTTCCCCACCTTGCGCGCGAACTTGATGCCCGCCTCGTTGGCCTCGGACCCGGAGTTGCACACGAACACGGCGGCGGCGTCGTGCATGCCGCCCGACTCGAGCGTCTTTTCGACGAGCAGCTTGGAGAGGGCGCCCGTCCAGGGGTTGTAGTATAGGTTGGAGGCGTGCACGAGGGTTTGGGCCTGTGATGAAGAGAGGAAGAGCGTTAACTCGAGCTAGCTATAAGAGTCACAGAAGGAAGAGGAGGAGGGGGTTGGCGCGCACCTGTTGGGCAATCAACTTCGCAAACTCGGGGTCGCAGTGGCCCAGCGAGTTCACGGCAATACCGGCCGTCAGGTCCAGGTACTTGCGGTTCTCGAGATCCCACAGGTATGAGCCCTCGCCCTTGATAAACACTGGCGCAGGGCGCGAGTAAGTGGCGACCATGAACGGGGCATGCTCGCGGACGAGGGCAGCGCTGGCCGAGTCGGCTGCTGGGTCCGGGTTCGGCAGGGAGGCGTCGCGCTGGATCTGGGCGTGGCTGGCCGGCGAGGGAGTCGTAGGCATCGCTGCCGCCTGGGAGAGGAACCTCGCATGCTGTGTTGTTGTCGTCGTCGTCGTCATCGTCGTGCGGCCAGCAATAGACGAAGACTTGGCGGCGAACCGCAGAGATGCTCGGAAAGCCATTGTGGGCGGCGTGTGGGCGTGGGACGTGGTGGAGTCGGAAAAAGCGAAAGTATCGTATCGCCTCGCGTGTGTGGACTGATGTTGTGACGGAATCTATCGCCTGGATAAATTCTGTTCGATCAATTGGAAATTGGGCGCAGTCCTTTCGCAAAATACAAAACAGCAGCAGCAGCTTAATAAAAACCACGCAATAGCAATGATGACTCAACCGTTCTCTTTTTCCTTATCAGATCATTCTCCTGCCGCAGAAAGAGGGTCGGTCTGGGGTATAATCTCACAAGTACCCGCCTAAAGAGTCATCCCACCCTGCCAAAAAAAATAATTCCTAGCGAGCGATTTCGGCGGCAACCATCTGCGGGACGACGGCCCCAAAATTTGACCCCGCCAGTTATTGGCCGGGAATGGAAACAAGGATTGCATCTTTCTTATCGATAAAAAACACCCCTGCCTTCAACTATTGTCTAAAGTGATTTCCTGAAATCCATCAAGGTTCTTACATTCCGGACTGAATCTGTCAATCTGTGCTATCGGTCCATTCCATCTTCGAGGCAGTGACTCTCTAAAGGCTACTGATAGTGCCAGCAGTATTTTCATAGTGATGATCTCATTATCTACCTCACCTATAGCCCGACATATATTCCTCACTAAAATAACCTCCCAAATTTCCATCTCTCCTCCCCCTCAGCCCGTTCCGTCCGATCCCCCTTGCCTAACTAAGCAAGCAGGCACATCCTCCACACGGCGCACCCTCTCCCCTAAAAAATAAAACAGAATCAACTCTCCCGTAACAACATCAAAAATAAACCCAAAATCAAGTCTCACTTCATTAATCTCCCACAAAAAAAAGAACACAATTGATCAAGCACTTCAAATTTGACCGCGGCAGGGCTCGAACCTGCGATCCTCTGCGAATAAAGAACCCTATTGGGTAATTTCTTTATAAAGAACCCTATTGGGTAATTTCTTTGTAAAGCAGATGCCTTAACCACTGGGCCACGCAGCCATCCGCCACCGCTGTGATGGATCGGTTATTTGGATTTCCTTAGTCCCATTAAACGCCATTACCTAAGATTTAACAGCACGTAAATTTATAATACAAGTCCAGTCAGGAACGATGTCTAAAATATACCGCCACTACGGCAAGAACATAGTCAAGTTTTGCAAGTGTATGGGTTTTTTATCATCTTAGTAGGTAGATAAGGACACAGCTAGTAAGTTATAAAGTTTTTCTTTTCTTTTAGGGTCAACTCGCTGGTGGTAGTTGGAAAGAAGAAAGTCGCTGAGGGCTCGATTGTTAGATTGCAATGTAAGAAAGATGTTGACAAGCAAGAGTCCATCCCTCCCTAGGCCGGGTGCAAGTGGGCTTTTTGTATCTTCGCCCCGGGAAAGATCTCTCTTTGTGCATAAGTATGGAACAAACTCCCATCCGCAAAATAAGATTCGCGGCATGACTGCTGCTGTATGACTGTGTCGGTGATCATTTGCTGAGTAAAGTTACCTTCTAGGTTTTTTTGGACTTAGTGACTACTAACCTAGCAACCTAGGTACCAAACCTTGGAACGATATCTATACCTGTGCCGGGGAAATAAAAGATGATGAGTGAATCGAAGTACGAATATACTCCTACCAACTAGGGCCTCCAAATAAAATACTACCTTATTCAATACTTAAGCATGCCTTCTTAGATAAAAGCGATGCCTTAATCGGTATTATATCCAGGTGTAAATAAATAATGCAGAACAGACTGAATATCCTATCTTGACGCGCTGAAATATACTTCACCCTAACCGTTATTCCCCGTAGCAGGCCTGAGAACAACCCATCATCGCGATGGGGGATGATGCATGATCGAAATAATCTAGGACAAGAACTGACGAGAAAGGCATCTGCAGCAGCAATTGCAAGACACAAAAAGCGTGAAAGTTAGATAACTCCCTAACCTAAAGCAATAACAAATGCAGCGCACACTACCTAGCCACCTACCTAGCCACATGCTTATACTGTTGTCTCCGCCCGCGTCCCTGATCCTACCTCCATCTTTCCGTGTTCTCCTTCCGCCTGCATCTCTTGTCTCCACCTCCACTTCTCTGCCTCTCCTGTCACCATCAAAATCTCACACGTTCATGCCCCTATTTTTTTTGGTAAGGTTCCATCCCCCTTTGGTGGTACCAGTCAACTGCTTTTTGTCCTCCTTTCCTTTCCATTCATTCTTTCAACCATTCTTTCTCTCCTTTATATCCATACCCATCCGCAACCAGCTTGCCGAAACACCAAAAAACTCCTCGTATGTTGATAAGTACGGCGTGAAGAAAAAAAGGACCAGTCTTCCTCCATCCCATTCATAGCGTATCTCCAACCATTCGTGTGATAATTACCCTATGTATGTTTCTCGATAAACCTGGAAATTGCGCCTGCCCGCTATCCCAAGCTCGTGTCGGTGATAATAACGGAAAAAGAACCCATCCAGCCCACCTGATCTTGTGCATGTTGTTTCTTGTCGTGGTTGTTTCTCTGGAATAACTGGGTCCAGGCAATAATAGCAATAAAAATAAATAAATAGGTAATAATAATAATAATCACACTCATCCCATTCCCAGAAGGAAAATGCAGTCGTCAATGGTAATCACTTCGTGGCGCAGGGAAGGGAGGACAGAAAAGAACACGCAAACGCGCAGTAGCCAACATAAATGACCAAGCATGAAAGACTCGTATGCCTCCAACAAAATGCAATCATCATCATAAGTCCTTCGCAAATCCAGGATGTCATCAGTCGTGAGTAGAGGAAAGAGACTCGGTCTCAGGTCGTCGGGAGCCCGCAAAAAGTCGTCCATGGTCGTTCCCCAAGCTGGATTAGCCCATGTGGCTATGATTGCCATTCAACATGTTGCCCTCGAAGAGGTCAAGCACATCTCCGGATATCATTTCCAGCCACGGAGGCATCATCTCGTTCGGCAACCCGAGGGAGTCGAAGTCGAGCACCTGGTTGTCGAAAGTAATCATTTCGTTGACTGGGTTCAGTCCTCCAAGGTAAGAATACGACCCCGACATCAAGCCGCTCTGCGGAAAGCCTGCCTCGTAATTCTCGTGGTTGCCGCCTCCGTGATGTTGATTGAAGCCATTGCTGACATTGTGCCCCTGGTTGTGTCCCTGGCTGTGTCCCTGGCTGTGTCCCTGGCTGTGTCCCTGGCTGTGTCCCTGGCTGTGTCTCTGGTTGTGTCCCTGTTGATGGTGCAAAGCATGTTGCTGCTGTCCCATGCCAGAATCTGTCATTGTGCTAGAGGGCGATCCGCTGTGTACTACAGAAGCCTCGTATGACGAGTGATTTTGTGAAGAGGGAGTATAGGCGTGATGCATAGGCTGGCCGTGATTGGCCTGCGGCATAGACGAAAGCATGTGCACATTGTTGTTTTCATTGCCTGGACTGTGATGATCCATGTCTCGTGGGGGCGAGGCTTTATACCGGATAAGCGATTTACCGGCATGCCCGGAAGACGATAGAACTGATGCCCGACCAACCTTAGGATGATGGGCTTGGTGGCGCACGGCCGATATATTTGGTTGGGGGTACGCTGGCGGGAACATGGTTGGCTCAGGAAGGCTCTGCCGAATGGGGTCAAAGGTCATATTCCCCGGAGGAGTGGGGGCCGACACTGGGGGGGCTGGGGGCATCAGGGGAGGTGGCGGAGGTCCAACGTTGCCAGACCCGTAGAGCAGGGTCAGGCTCGTGTTGGGCGAGTTTGTGGTGCCGGTGAGCGACCATGCGATAGGAGGGACATTGGGCGATGCTGGATTATCGAAGCGGGCCAGCCGGTTGCTCAGCGAGCCACGTCGCCCCAGCTTTGTGCTTTCATACTCCTCGATGGTAAAGGTCTCGCAGTCCCAGATGCCCTTCGACTTTTGGTCAAGGGCAGTAAGGATGTATCTAACGCCTCCCCAGTATTGCTGCAATTCCTGAAGCGATTTGTAGCAACGCTGGTAGTTCTGATTGGCGGCGGCGGCCAGCAGCGAGTGCTTGGATCTCGAGTCCTGTTGGCCCGAGTTCCCCGAGTGTGGCTTAAGGTTCGAAGTCTTTTGGGAGTCGCCTCGGGCGTCTGTGGGCGAGGATGCTCGCGATGGAGGCGCCGAAGTGTTTGCGCCCGACTCGATCAAAAAGGTGCACGCTGCGATATACATGGGCTGTGACGTGAACGGATTCCCGATGAAGCTCTTGGGGTCGATCAACTCGGTAAACGCAAGAATATCGGCAATGGTCTTGGCACTCGAAATGGATAGCTCGCGGCTCTTTGGCAACAGCAGCTTGTTGAGGCTGCCGAACGACAGCGAGGGCCGATGGAGGACAATGATCAAGGCGTGAAACCAGAAGTGTAGGAGGATGAAGATGGTGCCTTGCCCCTGCCTTGCGTATTCCCTGAAGTGGTTGGCATTGAAGTAAAGCCGCGGGTCTTGCTGCTGGTAGATCTTGGTGAGATCACTCTCCATCTGGGCAAGCCTGGCCATCTTCTCCTCGGTGAGATCATTTGGATCTCGGATATTGTTGAGCACATCCGACACACGGCCGTACAGATGAATGATTTGGATGAAGTTTGGCAGGGGATTTGGCCAGCCCGAGACAGGATCAATCGACGGCTGGGGAAGGGCCAACTCAAAGTCATCATCTCTGAAGGTTACCGGCCGGCCTGTGCCAGATGAGATGACTCGGTCCAGGACGAAGACGGCCCAAAAGGTGTCAATTCGTTCCTGTTCCAACTCCTGCTGCTCCTTTTCGCTGGGTTCCTCATCTTCCGCCTCGCCATTTTGCTGCGCATCCAAATCCTCGCTGCTCTTGCGGCTCCATGTCCTTGTGTACCAGGGGTCGCGTTCTCCCTGGTACTTGATGCCGACCCTCTTTTGGAGGCCGAGGTCAACGGCCATCCTGATGGCGCAACCCAAGTACATCCAAAGCGCGCTGTCCTGATCCGCGCCGAATCCTTCGTACGCCATCAACAGGCACGCTTGGACAGCAGCAACGGAGGGACACGGAAAGGTCTCCACGGTGGCGGCTCTGGCCCGCTGGGCAAAGACGTGGCCATACTCTGACCTTGTGGCCTTGCCGTCGTGCTCGTTGGAGAAGACAGGCAGTTCCGAGAATCGAGCTGCCAGGGCGCACATGGAATCAACCAAGATCGGCTCGACCCTTCTTTCCCTCACCATGCGCAGAATCCTCTCTTCGCGCAAAAAGGGGTAGTTACAGCCGAGGTGAAGAAAGAAAGTCTTGACTAGGGTGATGATCAAGGGGTGAACAGGGGCTGTGTCGTTTACTACATCGTAGACAGGTAGTTCTTCCAGACTCTCGAGAACCGTCTCGGGGTGGGGAGCTTGATGGTGGGCCATGCCATAGCCGAACACCGACACTGGTGATGTGGCCGAGAAGGAGCTTCCGCGGCTCTTGCGTCTGTCACGCTGGACCGATACGTTGACCACCATTTGCTTGTAGCCGGGGACAATCGCGGTGGGCCCAAAGTAGCGGAAGAAGGGCATGCGGGTGCTCTCGGTATGATGCTGGACGGGCGAGCGGTTGTTCGAGCTCCGACCATCCTCCGAGTAGGACGAGGTGCGTCCAAGGTTGTTATTGGCCTTCCGCAAAGGCTTCGCCGAGCCCTGCGAATGGTCGTCTTGGTCCCAGTCCTCGCTCTGCACGTGGGACCGGGCCGCTGCTGGCGCGCATGGTATCGATGGGGGCGTGGGCGTGATAGTCGATACCGAGTCGCGCCTCGAGGCTGCATCGTGGCCATTGAAGCTAGTTGTCCGCGCCTCTCCCTTGATCTTCCAATGGCGTCGCTCGTCGTCGTCATCGTCCATATAGTCGTCTTCGGCATCGTTGCTCATGTCGGTTGTGTCTCCATGGTCGCCTCGCGAAGCCGTCGCCAAATCACTGCCATCCTCCCTCTTCTTCTCAACGATTTCCGTACCATACCCGAGGCAGTTGTGCCCATTTTTGGTGCAGGTCGAGCAGACTGGTTTCTC